GATGTGTATAAGAGACAGATATATATATATATATGCTATTTACATCAGAGGAAGTCCCCTTCAAAGTCTGTAAAATGCATTTTGTGCAGTTTATGACTTTGGCAAGGGTATGCCAAGCTTTGAGCAAGGATATGACAGTTCTAAAAGCAAAATATCCCCATGTGGGGTGCTTCTGTTTTTCATTAACAAAATTAAATACCCTGCATCATATTTTGAATCCATCACTTATTTTTTGAATTTCAGTCAGATTGTAGCTGGACATGAGAAACATATAGTTGTCTAAACTAGTATATATTATCCTGAAAGCACAACGTAACAACTAGAAGGCAGACTACCTGTGGTTAAATTAGAGATGATATACGTGAATACATTAATTTATTAAGACACCAAATTTAAGGTTTTAATTTAAATCCCTGGTTTCTTCACTGAAATAAACAGACATCCTAACCCTGAAGCTTCAAGAAAAAAATGTAACTAGAAATACTCTGTGATGACTCTTTTTTGGCCTTAAAGAGGTCCTCTGGATATTTTTCACTTCATGCACTCTGTATGCAATAAGAGGGAAAGTGAGATAACACACCCCACAAGCTTGCATGTGACTGTGACATTTGTCAAAGCTGTCACATTCGATGACAGCTGAAAGGTGTGCAGTCATCTGATTGTGCAGGCAAGTGAATCCCCTTGTCATCACTCCGAAGCCTAAAAACTGCTTGGACCCATGCCAGAAGCACTGCAGTTTTAGCAAATGCAATGGGTAGATATACCAATATTGTTAAGACCTAGCAACACACTCAGGTTAATGACAGCTGCTCTGTCAACTGCTTCCTGATGCAGAACTGTTTACAGGTTAGGGAGTAAAGGTAATGTTTTGATAGATTGTTATGGGGTATTGTGTTTGAATGTTTGTCTGTTTGTTTACTTTTTTGGTTAAGCTAACGTGAAAAAAATGGTAAAATATACATCTATATATCACAAGGAAATCAGAGTTGCTGCTATTTGGGAGTTTTCAGATAATATTCACTACTCTGGAACACTAAACCATAATTCTGTATTTCATCTCCCTGAAAATAAGGCAAGAATGGGACTCTTTCAACCAGGATAAATAGTTAAACTGTCCAAGTAGATGTTTAAATGCGTGCTGTTAAGTTATCTAAATTAGATGGTGGTTGGAATAATTGCTGAATCTAAAGAAGGCCAAAGGCTTATTTTAACATCTGATTTGGCTCTGTGGGTGTCCTCCTGACTTTACCAAGTCAAACATAAATCTCTCATTGATTGCATGAAGACAGTATTTCATTCTGCTTTTATCACCCAAGTGACACAAAATATACTCAGGTTTTGACAGACTTTACACAATTTCACTCTTCCACAGTCAATGTCAGAACTAAACTCCTTCCATATAAGATGCCACCAAATGCCTACTTTGCTGGAAACTTTCATCATTTTATACAAATTAAATTCAGAGGCACCATTATATGTTCCTACATGTACCATTGCTTCCTAAGAAGATGTGAATGCAGAACAAGAAAGAAAAAGCTGCAGCATCTCAAGCAGCCTACAGGGAGATGCAGTTTATGACAAACATACAGGCAGCTGAAGGCCTCAAAAACACCTTTTCATCTCTAATCCCCGCTGTGCCATCCTTCTTTAGAAATTTCAATTACTACATTGTCTGTCCCTCTGTACCTCAAAAAGCACTAGGTTTCATTCAGATATGCTCTATCAGGTGAAAAATCTTTAGTTAGAGAAATATTTAAAACTTCAGAAAAATGAAAACTTAAGGTACAGGTAGGGTATCACAGACACTAAGGAACTGCTGGTGCCCGAGGGCCTGTAAAATCAGAGAGCCCCTCCTGCTGTCCCTGCCCTTCTCTTTTTCAGGTTCTGCAAGGCCAGAAGGGCTTCTCAGCCTTGACATTTTTTTCTTCTGATCTACATCTCTTGATGAATTCATATCTACTATGCCTCCAGGCACTAACCACAACATCTGAACAGTAAAATGAGAACAGTGTTAGCTGGCCCACTATGAAATTACCTTAAATAACAGAGAAGCTCAGAGAATGGTAGAGAACTTCACAGGAGTCTGGATCTCAAGATACAGAGGCACTGAATGTGCAGATGTATAAGCAACTTTTCACTAAGCAACATATGGTAGGGATGAAGATCCTGTCCTGAATCAGTGCATGAACTGTTTTTATTTGCCATTGTCACGCATTGATAACTACTGCTGTTAGCCAGAAACAAACACTGTACCCTCATGATTAACAAAAGCAATCTATATGTGTGATTTTTCTTTAAGTGTTCCTTAAACACATGCCCCCTGCCCATTGGTGCTGGAATTTTTCACAATTTCTAAGTCCTTCAGATCTCATCAAATCAACATTTGATGCTTTTAACATCTGTTCATGATCTAGCAAGAGAGAAAAATATATGACAGTCTAATCTGGCAGGAATTATTTAATATTTCTAGTGAGAGTAAATAACCCTAACCAATTCTGAGCCTTCAATTCTCCATGATTATTTTGTCAAAAATCTAAGTGAGTTTTCAGATGAAGGAAACCTCAACTCTAAAACTGCCTTTGTAAAAACAGCATTGCTGTCTCTTGTCATTTGAAATGAAGGGACTGCCACATTTTCTGGTTTTCTGAACAAAAAACATTCTGTCTTTTTAGCCACAAAGGTTCAATCTAGGTCCTAAAAGTCATTTTCCCTCCCAGTGTCAGTATCAAACAAGAATCAACAACAAAAAACATGTTCTTGTTTTTATCTTTCATGAAGTCTTCACTACTGGTGATTGTAGATAAATCAGAACGCATACAACAGGAATTATTTTGGTCCAAAGGCCTTTTTAAATATAGTTAGGAAAAAAATGAGTCTTTTTACTTCCAAAGGCAAACAATTTCAATATGTTCTTAGTCACAAATCATAAGTCACTCCATTCAATCATTTTTACCAAATAATTTCAGTTTTTGACATACAGAGAATAGAAGTAAATTTAAAATGTTTTGATAATAATATATTATTACTTCAAAAGAGCTACGTATGTTACAACGAATTGATGTTGAAATGGCCAGACATATTTAGAGTGGTTCTGCTCAGTCTTGTGCTGGATCTGATGCTGTTAATTTTTGATTTATTCATTAATTAAATGGAGGAATAGACAGGATACATAGGAATTCTATTGCAAGCTGGGAAGAACTGCGAATATGCTAGAAGGAAAGCTTCATATTTTAAGTGATTGCACAGTACTCAGTTTGGGGGCCTGGATCACATTCTTATGAAGAGACGTTAAGGTAGTTCAACTTGCTTAATGCAACAGAGAGGAAGCTAAAGGACTACCTACAGCGACTTGAAGAATATTTCAAAGATAATGTACCCAAACTCTTCTCAGCTGTGCCAGGCAACAGAACAAATTGCAGGTGAGGAAGGTCACATTGGACATTAGGAAACTGGTTTTCACTGAGGGCAGTGGATCACTAGAATGGATTATCCCAAGAAGAATCTTTCTCCTTGAAGGTTTTCAAGATGTAGCTAGACAAAGCCATGACTGTCCTGGCCAAGGATACAAGCTACTCACACTTCATGCTGAAAATAATGCTATAATGGCAATAGTATAATGAAAGGCATTCAGAACATAAGCAAGTGCAAGATAAAGCTAGTCGCTAATGCAAAACGGATACGGGTTGGCTCACTAGTCACAATTCTGGAGCCTATTGTAGATCACAAAACAAACATTAGCTAATAATATCAAGCTGTCACAAAACAAGAGAAAGTATACCTGAGTTCATAAACAGAAATGACATCTGTAAGACAGCAAAGGAATTCTTCCTTATTTATTCAGTATATACAATGTCTCAGCTGGAATATTGTATCAAGTTTTGATTGCTGTATTTCCAAAGAAGTGTGGATTGATAGAGATTTGAGAGGATGATAGAATAAGAAGTTACAAAACATGGTGCATAAGAAAACTGAAACTGAGTTGATCTGGTCTAAAAAGAGAGATACATTTTTGAAATAAATGTTGATCTGAGCTCTACCTGGTTTGAGGGATGAATAAATCTTATTTGTTTCAGAGAAGCCTGTATGGAAACAGAACAACAATCTGTATCCCTTTGGAGCTGATTTTTAAATATTTTAGAGAAATCACTGAAACATCTCTTGGATGGAGAAAGAAGATGATCTCTGTTTTCAAACAACAAGCACTGGCTTCAATTTAGATTATATATTTTTTTTCTGAAGTTGTTCAAAAAAACCTTTAAAGAATTTATGATTGTTATTCTCAGATTATAGGAAGAATAAACACACACAGAGAAATGAATAATGGAAGTTCATCACCTATCCAGCTGAAGCATATCAGAACTCTACTGCATTAAAGATACGTCATAAAAATGTCAATTTGACTTAAAGTTAAACATCAGGGGGTTTTATTTTATTTTTGTGTAATCCTCATTTCTAGTTCATACTGGCATGTTTGATTATTATGATAAGAAATAATGTTTTTAGTGAAGCATGTCTCCAATCACTATTATGCATTTACCAAAGAGAAAAGTAGAAAAGGTGCAATTAAAATTGGATTTTGGTTTTAAGTGACAACTTCCATTATGTTTAAAATGTGCAGTGCTACAAGAACTTGTCTTACCTTTAAACGTAGGATGAAACCTCTCCCAGCCTTACTGTCATGATGTCTATCAAATAAGCTTTTTCTGATGGAAGTACCTAATCTTCAGTTCAATTCAAGTACAACTAGAGGAACAGTATTGTAATAGACAAAACCAGAATACTTTGCTTTATTTTCAGTTCCCAGATAGCCAAAGGAGATCTGGGGAGAAAAGAAACCCCAAACCTACAGTTTCTGCTTTTTAAGAAAACTACTTAATACAAGATACAGAAAATAAAATTATGTCTACAGCTGAGCTAGCCAAATGTTATTTATAAAATACATTATTCATTGATTGTTTGTCATTTTTCATTGACTGATTTATTCAAGAAATACTTTTTATGATATTCAATCAATTCAGCAGCAGCCAAAATACTATTTGTCAAATAAATGATCTGATAAACAATGACAGTATTATTCAAGTCCGTTAGCCAAAATTTAATTTATTTTTTTTTTTTGGCTAGCTGTAATCTCTGCCATGGAGTAAAGTTCCTAAATACAAATTTATGATACATATTAAATTCTAACAGACATAAGATTTCATCCTAAACAGTGCTGTATTTTCCATCAATCTGTATCTTTCAGTTGTGCTTTAACATTTTTTGTTTCCCCTGATCCTCCTTTCCTTACTCTTTTCTTCTTTCCAGCTTATCATATAATTTTCTAGATGATAATTGTCTTTTTTATATAGTTTATATGTAGGAAGTGACTCCATACTATATTTGAGAAATGTTTACGATTTGCAATCTTTAACTATTGTTAAAGATTTAACTGCAATTGAACGACTCAGATATGACTTCATAAAAACAAAATTATGAGCATGAATGTTATTTGTGTACTAGAGAATGATGTGAGCTCTGCTTTGGTTATTGCGGTGGCTGAAAAATGAGGAATATACGGTGCAGCAATAGACAGGCAAAGAGAATATTTTGCAATTAGGAAATGTTAGTATAGACAACCGAACAGAAAGCTTACCCATGGGCAGGATGCTGAGCACTGGAACAAGAATTTTTGTCAGTAATAATGTCTTCCTCCTTTTCTGTATGCCTAGTGTGAGACATCTGGAACTATATTTGTAGAATTAGTGACTGCAGCCAAAGTCAATCAGAGTCCATTTCGAACATGTGCAATACTACAAAACTATTAACTTCTCCAGGAAAAAACAAAAACAAAAACAAAACCCTCCCATAATTCCCAGCAACATAAGAGTAGGTTATGAAATTAAGCATGGAAAGTTTAGATGCCACTTGACAGTTTTGGCCTCAGTTCTCCCTTCTTAAAATGAGCTGTCAATACTATAGATCTTGGATATTATACAATAAATTTGTAATATTTCTATGCTCTTTAAGAAAGTCTTCTGGGTTGGTTTGAGAAAAAATTAATATTTGTATAACGTATAACTCAGACATTGTGCATAAAATATGGTTCATGACCCTTCATCAATTAAACACACTGAAAAGGAAGACTGAATACTTTATTAGCTATGCAGCTCATAGCTTATTGAGACAGTAACCTTCTGGCAATATACTGATTCTGTATTGAATGAGTACAGAGTGTAAGCACGAAGACAATAATTTCAGCTTAATTGTGCAGCATAAGTTCTGTGGTGGGGTTTGTTGTTTGTGGGGTTTTTTTTTCCCCTTTTCTCTTGAGTTCTTTCTCTTTACAGAATCACTAGTCTTTTATTGTCAGTTCTGAAGGAGCAAGCATGCAACTTGGTGCAGAAGTCTGAGCCTAGGGTGGAGCTGCCATGGTTCGGGGCTCATCAGAGGGTATGTCCATTTTCCTGGCTCCTCAGTGCAGATCTGAACAGGGCATGAGAGGCTAGTCCCATTGATTGTGTGGGTACATAGTGTTTTGTAAATAGAATTTTTAAAGTAGAAATCATCATTCACCTGCCAATCCCATTCTCCTTAATAAATAAATTACAGGTTATATGCTTCTGAGCACTGTAGCTCTGTTCTTGTGGCCATCCCACCTAAATTACCCTGACAATGAACAATTTGACCAGGTTTTAAACACTGAAGTTCCTCCATTCCTTGTGGGGACTCGCATTGACTATTCAACAGTGACTCAAATACCTAAATTTGCTCTTTATTTTTAATAACTTAATTGTTACTCATCATTAATTTAAATGACATAGTATTAAATTTAATATTATCAACAATTATTATATTAAACACTTTTTTTTTTTTTGGTAGATACAAGTTGGTTTTGCAACAGTTAAATCCAACATGTAGGTGGGCCCTCATCTTATTTAATGCAGCTAATTTTTCAGTTCAAACTCAAGCAAAGTACAGTTAAAATGCTAACAATATGTAACTGTAAAAGTAGCTATAAGTATCCTAAAATTACATCACTCACAATCCCAAACTGGACTAGCTGACATGTTCTGATGCAAACAAATATGAATTTATTTTGATTTATATTTTATATTATATCCCTTCAGTGGTTTTATTTTTTTCTTTTCAAAAACTACAGGCATACCTGTCAAAACAGTAATTTACCTAACAGAAAATTCATGGGATCTAACACTGTAACTACCAAATAACAATATAAATCAGTCAGATAACCCTTATGTTCTGAGACAGATAGCTTTTCTGCTCTTAGCGATTAGGAGTAACACTGGCCCTTACTTTCAGTAGTCCTTTTATTAGCTTGTGTGATGTTAACAATGCTCTTAGGACGGGATGTGTAAAATGAACAAGCTTTAGAAAAACTCCTTTCTCTTAGGATATTATTAATAGCAGGAATAATTAATAGATAGATATTGGTTTATAGGTTTAGTTAACAGAGCACAGGTGCTCTAGGAACAATACTGACAGTTCAGTGCAGTATGCACAGATGCTTGAGTAACAATTCTGACAGTTAAAGATTGTTCAGAAGATAAGTAACCACGATGACTGAAGACTGTATCGGTGAGCAGTGACATCGGAAGAAGAATTGGAACAGAACAATGAGAACTAGCCGAAACTGTGAAATATAATGGACTTTTGAAATTGATGATGAATTGAGAGCTGAAAGTTTATAGAAAATCACCAAAAACTCTCGTATTTGTATTTGTTTTATAGAATCATACATATAGATGGCGCTTTTTTGTTAGCTGTTGCCACTCTCTGAGGTGATGGTCTGAGTTGTTAATAAAGCAAGCCTAGAGATACCTGCAGTGTGGTGAAATCCTTTAACAGGATGTATGCCCAGAGTTACTTTAGATTTTATCTCTGAACTTGTTTAACTACATGACTAGCCTTCAGCTGTAGCAATCTAATCAAAAAAGTGACACAAATACAAAATGAAAAGCAACACCTTTTCAATTGATAAATGGACAAAAACATGTACACCATTTTACCCACGTGCAACTTGTGTATACCTTTCAATCTGAACCTTAGTGGCTAACTCACAAACATTTATGTCAGAAAGTTCAAGATTTGAGCCTATGTATCTGAAATATGGAAACCTATACGCTGATGCTCTGACTCTAAGGTTTTCTGTATTTCCATAATTACAAAATAGATAAATGCTATATTATAAACTCTCTCCTTATTTTATCAGTAGTGTATAATTCTAAAATAATTATTCATAAAGGATTTCTATTAATAATCTTATATCAAAGAAAATCAACACAATAAGTTTTTTTTCCTTTTTCTGTACAATAAAATCTTCATAGAAATAATGAATAACATTTGCAAACACTGACAGAACAGACTTTAGCATATGTCACAGAATGGCCCTGCAAGGCAAGATGTTCTAAATGAAGTTAAAGTTGTTCAAAATGTACTTGATCCACAGCCTGAAAGATTTTTCCCCTGTGAGTAGGAAGATGATCTCAGAAAATTATTAAACACAGCAAGTCTCATGCAACCTTCTTCCTTCTTATAGTAGATGCAGTGTTGCCAAGAGAAACTACATGGCTCTGCTTTCAGCTGATGGTGTCACTGAAAAAAAAAAAACACCAAACCTTCACATTTACCTGAATATCTGAACCACACGTATAATTCATGATGTTACTTCTTTAGAGCTCTAAATATGATGCTGCCTTGGGTGTCTAGCACAAATTGTTACTTTGAGAATCAAAACCAAAAGAAAATTCCTCAGAGAAGGCAGTAGAAATGGGGAAGAGAGAGCTCTAATCAAAGACTGCAGAATAAGAGAAAGACCTGCATACCCTACTCCACAGAAGCACCAAGTCCCAAATTATCCCTAACTGAAAGCCTGACTCTGGGAGACTAAGCTGAGAATCTGGCTCTTGATATTTAACTGCACTGCCAATGATTCAACTGTAGATAACAATGATATCTGTCCAATGATACAACTCACCTAGCAGCTGTGATGTTACTTTTAAGGATAAAAGTAATTACATTAACAGAAAATAAAGGGTTGTTTAACAAAGCTGTTCATAACTATGCTTTAAGTTCCTAAATGGCTCTTATATAGAATTGGAAACTAAAGTAATCCACAATACTAGTAATGACTTTTGAGCATTGTCACAAATAAACAACATTTTGCAAATTCAGCAAGATAAAAAATTAGATTCTGTAGTACATTTCTTCTTTATGAGTTGCTAATCATTACCATAATGAAAACAAAAAAATTCCAACTCTGGTATGCCTGGCTGGCCAGGTGAGATAACAAGCCATCTGTCTTTTCCAGCACACAGGCCAGACAAAACTGATGCTTCAACCCCTGAGCTTCTCTGAGGCTGCATACTGTTCCAAAGCGTAGATTAAGGAGCAACAAACTGCTAAAGTTATAGCTAGGGAGAGAGACAGTGCAGAGGTATAGTGTTGGGAGACAATGGACATGTGAGCAATCCTACACATGTGCACGCCTCAGCAAGGACATAGAACAAAGAACTCAGCAACCAACTCCAGGAGATGGGTTGGGTGGAGAATGACATTTGAGTGTGGCGCTTATTGTCCAATCGTGAGAAGGCTTGAAAGCGCATGGACAAAGCTAACTGTCCAGTCATAAGGATTGTACCATGTAACATTCGCGTGCACAGGGGAAACCTATAAAAGGGCTTGCTTACCTTCAATAAATGGTCATTGCTTGATCATACTGCTCGTGTGCATGTCCATAGCTCCCGCAGTATAGTGCTTGCACCCCCACGGTGAGGTGGCAGTTTGTGCACAGCCTCGTAGACAAATGAGTTCCAGG